GAGAGAGAGAGAGAGAGAGAGAGAGAGAGAGAGAGAGAGAGAGAGATTGATTTATAAGGGGAGAAAAGAGGAAAAGTAAAAAGAGGAGAGAGAAAAAATGAAAAGAGGAGACATAAGAAACTCGAAAGGAAAGTGGAGGAAAGAAAAAGGCGAGAGAAAGGAGAAGAGATAAAAAAAATCGGGGTGGTGGTGGTTTATAATTTATTCCCTTGCCTAGTTCAAGACTCGGTCCCTGGCCTCCAAAGGATCTCCAAAGCAACTTGTTGAAAATGAATCCCCCAAAGGACGTCGAGCAGACAGACCGTTGTCCACTGTCCCGCCGCCGGTTCTGCTGCTCCAGCGTGCCAGGGCGGGCTTCCAGTACCCGATCCAGACTCCAGAATCTACCGCCCTCCCACACCGCCTCTCAGGTCCCCGCACCAAGCACGGAAAGCAAGCGCCGGGAGGCGAGCGGAGCTCTAGGAGCCCAGGTCCACAAGGTTGGCAGACATGGGGTTGAGTATGGAGTCCTGCAGGCTGTGGTGGTGCTGCAGTGGATCCGCGCCGCCTCCGCCGGGCACCGACACGGGCACTGCGCTCGGGCCCGGAGGGTGGCCCAGGCTGTGCAGGGAAGGCAGCCCAGGGGGCGGCGGTGGGCTGAGCAACAGTGCGGGACTGGACGACGAGTGATCAGGAGTCCCCGATGGCGTCTTCTCGTCCTCGGAGCTGCCTAGCACCGACTTTCCGCTGCCATTGAGCGAGGAAACCAGAGGGTTGTGGCTGTTAGAATTGGAGTTCTCGCTGTTCTCCCTGCAAGCGCAGAAGCAAAGGAGCGGGGTCAGCGGGAAAGCAAGGCCACTCAGCGCCACCCCTCAGAATACCAGCCCCTGGGCCCGCTGCAGCTGCTAAAGGGTGTTTTCCCGTTTCTACCATCACTACACCGGGCCTTTGGTTCTTTACTGCATTCTCAAACCCTCAACACTAGTTTTCTCTTGTCCCTCTCCCTGTATCCCATGTCCTTAATCTCATGACTACCTTTCCTGCTCTCTGTATGCCCTGTCCTGTCTCCCAACCCATTCCTTTCCTGGAGCCGCGGCACGGAAGTGGGGTGCCTGGAGTTGGGGGAGCGAGGGAAAACACCTGGACTTTCAAATCACGTAGGCTGGACAAACGAGCTTTGCTGGGTACAAGTGGGGAATAGAAGTTTCAGGTACAGCGACCCCAGGCTGAGGGGCCCACTTAGAGTTGGGTAAGCACAGGCCTAGTTTCCCTTTGCCTTTCTCTACGTGAAGGAAATCCCTGATTGCTACTGATTCCAAACCGGCAGGCTCTGTGAGCTCCATTTGACTGGGCAAAAAGATGAGACTTTGTGAATAGAGAACTCTTTTTCCCTAGTCCTCTAACTGGAAACTTTAGCCAGGTGACGGGAAGCTATGGAGAGCAGCCCCAGGGAGAAGGGAGAAGGAAGGGCCGGGTGCTTAGAGCTTGCTCAGATCGTAAGCAGAAACAAGGGAGCACAATTCGTAGCCCCCACCTGGGGCCTGGTCAGGAAGCCTAGCCCTTGGCGATCCTGTACTCAGTGCCAGCGCTAGAGAGGGGAACCCAGAGTAAGTGAGCCCACTCCCTACCCTGCTTTTGCCGACAGTCCTTGCCCAGATGTGGGTATTTGAAATCCTGGGTAACATCTACTTGTGGATTCCTAACGGCCATTCTTTCAGATTTCTTTGGAGGAATGAGCGAGACATCGTCGTCATTGAGAGTACAACTTGGAGGTTTCAAATACTCAGGTCCAGTCTGCAGCTTGTCCTGCTGTTCCTACTGTTCGATACCCTTACTCTGAACTAGGATCATCCAAACTGTGTTGAACACACCCATATCATCTAACCCAGGTGTCTTGTTTTGCTGTTCCCCGAAGAAGAAACTCTGTTCCCATATTCCGTTTCTCTCTAATTCCCTAGTTTTTTGGTCCACATTTGGGGGATTGCAGACAGTCACGGGGGTGTAGCTTAGGTTATTTCAGAAAAAGTCTTGGATTCCGATAGAAAAGAAAACTCCCAGCCCTTCGGCAGAGCCCAGTTTATCTCACACACCCGACTTGCCCATCAAAGAGAGTAGGACCAGAGGAGAGAAAGGTCAAGGATCTGGCAAGTCCAGGGAAGGCTTGCTGGATTCAGCAGGCCAGAAAATAGGTGTGTGTTTGCCTGTTCTCCCACAGCTGACACTCCCTCCCTGAGGTCTTACATCTTTGGGTCTTTTCCACGCGGGATAATTCCCAACTCCCTTGTGGTCAGCTCTTACACCCAGATACGGGATGGCTATTTTGCACAGGTATTGCCTTCATTGCCCAGATAATACTAGGGAGATTCCAATCCCAGCCCTGACTCAAAAAAAAAAAAATGCTTTGACCTGGAGGTGACGTCCTAAACTTCCTGATCCCCCTGGACGTTCGAGGAAGATCAGGCCCTGAACCTACGCTTTTACCTCGCAGGGAATTCAGACCCACACCCCTGCCCTCTCTGAAACTCGCTGGTTTTCCAATCAAGTCCAGAAGCGACTGAGGAATTAGTTACTGAGAACTTATGCACCACTTTGCCCGCTTTAGACAAATTCCGGGCCGCTCAGTCTTCAGGAAAGACCTAAGCGCTGTTTTGATCCAGACTGGGCTGCAGCCGAGGTTGATAACCGGGGCCTGGGTGCGATGTAGTCCTGTCCAGGTCCCCCCACCCCCCACCCAGCACCCGCATTCCGTTTCTCCCAAGCCGGCGCCAATGCTCACTTACTCGTACCTTTCCTTGGCCTCCGCCGCCCTGTCGCGCTGTCGCCGGTTTTTGAACCAGTTGCTGACCTGCGTGGTGGTGAGGCCGGTGGCCTCGGCCAGCTCGCGCTTCTCCCGTGGCGACGGGTAGGGGTTGTGAGCGTACCACTCGCGCAGCACGCTGCGGCTCTTCTCCTTGAAGCAGTAGCTGGTTTCCTCGCCGTCCCAGATGGAGCGGGGCAGCGGGAACTTGCGCCGCACGCGGTACTTGCCCACGGCGCCCAGGGGCCGGCCGCGCAGCTTCTCCGCCTCGATGTAGTGCGCCTTGAGCCACAGCTGCTGCAGCTTGGCGTGGTTGTGCGGCGAGAACTGGTGGCTCTCCAGGATCTTGTAGAGCTCGCGGAAGTTGCCCCGGTGGAAGGCCACCACGGCCTTGGCCTTGAGCACGCTTTCATTCTTGTGGAGGTGCTCGCAGGCGGGCAGCGACCACAGGAAGCGACCCAGCCGCTCGATGTTGCCGCCCTGCTGCAGCACCTCGCACACGCACGCCACTTGCTCCTGCGTGAAGCCGAAGGTGGGCAGCATGGACATGATGCCGGCTGCGCGCCCGCCCGCCCGCCAGCCCGCCCGAGCGCGCCCTCACCGCGCCTCGCGGCCCCGCA